TGCATGCAATGATCGTGAGCCGCGTGGGCTTCGAGAGTGAAAACCATATTTGAAGCTAATCAAGCCTCCTCTTAATTGGTGGTACTTCTTGTTACACACTCCCCGCTCTCTAATCCTATCCAGCAGCAAAAAGTAGTTTCCACTTAATTTCCTGTTCTCGTTCATTCTATTCAGGATGTTGACTGCTTTGTTGTTTTCTATAAATTCCATAATTTTCGCCTTACTGGTATAGCCTCCATATCAAGCAAAGCGTTTGGCATTAGGCCAATCTATTCGGTGTTTTGCGTGGGCTGTGTTCAGCCCAGGTTTAAAAAAAAATTTCAATAAAGAATTCTCAAACTTTATTAAGTTAATAGACGAGCAAATAATAGAACAGTAATATTCGCTAGTAAGTCTTGGTGTATTATCAAAGTACATAAATATACCGGTAAGTTGTGTCATACAGGCTTTGGGATTAATCTCAGATCAAAAACAAGAGATAACATCGAGAAATAAGATAAGCAAAGAGTCAATCACGAGATTTATAAATTAAATAATTAATTCTACATATTTTACTTTTGATGATAGATTATGAGCAAATCAAAGGTTTAGTTATAGGATCGTGTTTGTCTACAATTTTAGCTATTAACTACTTGGCTCAATTAAAAGTACGTTTTTTTAAAGAAATATTACCAGTTTGGAAACTATTTTCCAGATATATGGATGACCGCTTTGCCATTTGGCAGCATAGCAAAGCAAGTCTGAAAGACTTTCTTAGGTTAATTAATAGATTATGTATGACGACTAAATTCAATATGGAGTTGGTAAAGGACATTTAGATATCCTTGTTATAAAAGAAGGAAACAAACTGAGTAGGGATGCGTACTAAAACAAAGCGAAAGGTATGAAACCATCATCATCATAAACACGGACAAAATAATGGATGGTCAGACAAATTAATCATACCCATTGTTTGAAGATTTCTCCTCCTAGATTTGACATCATTACCAGGACAAATTTAGCATATAAAAGATTAACATTGCGAGTATATGCCGAGATTTGTTAATATTAGACTTGAAAAAAAATTGCGAAATTGCAGTCATTAATTAAGATATACACCAGACTAAGGAAAATCTTGCCTAAAGCATTTAGTTCGAAGGACTGGCCCAAAATCCTGATAGTGTCGCATAGGTTATATGGAAACATTTTCAGCTAGTGATAGACAAGTAACTAAGAAATTTGGGTATAATAATCGGTACGAATAGCATTAAGAAAGTTAAATAAGTGGTAAATATATCCAAAATTTCATTAAACGCTTCCATCTTAAATATATTACCAAAGTGCTTGAAGATTGCCTTATCAAGTGGAAAGTATTTCAAGGAAGAAATATTGGAAAATTGATTATTGCAATAGATTAGTTACCATAGGATAATAAGAATGAAATTAAGTCACATGGTGTTTCTATAATTTCTGGCCATGAATAAATACCGCATAGGAATGAAAAAGTTAATATATGATAAAACTTTTTTTAAATGGTCAATTAGAGTTAGGGGCATTGGTAATTCTGGATAGAGCAAAATACATGAAGAAATATTTGCAGGCGTTATGTGATGGCGAAACAAAAAATGCCATAATTAAGGACCCAATATAGACTCCGAGAGCTAGAATTAAGTGTTGCCTGCAGCAATGCACCAATAGCATAGAAATTGATAAGTGGAAAATCAGCACACTTCTCCAACAAAATGATATACCCCTAAGAGTTCATGGCTTGCCCAAATAGTGGGGAAATAAAGCATTTGGCGAGCGAGAACCTTATGTCCAGACATAAGATCCGAGTGTATAAATCAGCGAAATAGTCGACATCCTTGATTGGAGGAACGTGTAAGAAATATTAGTGACTGTTGGATAGGCTTCGGAAAAAGAAGTGAGAAGAATAGTTGAGTAAAAGGAGACTCAAATAGCATAGCCTGGTTTTAATTCGTATATCCCAGATGACTTGAACATTGCATATTCAAAACACTAAGCACCACATACTTAAACACGCGTCAACATTACGTGATCAAACGCTGGTTTATTTATCAAAGGAAACAAATATGGCCACATTTGACTGTACTTCATGGAACAACTCAGGCCTTCTGAAATAATGCAGAATGATAAGTAAATAATCAATCAAATCATAGGATGCCTCATTTAGATTTTAAAAATAAATACAAGATGCTAATAGATTTGTAGTTAGCGACCTTCCCTCTTATTTTAGTGTATTAGTGCGGTTATTCTTAAACTATGCCCTTTGGTTGACGATGCCTGACAAAGAAAAAGAAAAAATTAATCGTAGTAGAACAGTGATCCGAAGACCCCACATTATCCAATAGATTTTTCATGATAATCTACATTCTATTTCAAATTAGGCCAATTGACAAAGCTTTCTAACCAACTTTTCTCTTAAAATGAAAAATAGTCACATTATACTCACTAATTCGCAAGGTCTATAAGTAAAACGAAAATAAAATACTTACTTGGGCATCTAAAGAAAAATTATTTGCAAGGATCCTAGCATCCTCATAAAATCCATCATGAATTAAATGAACCAATCTATAAATGAAAAATAGAAAGAGAAAGAAAGAAAAGAATTTATGGAAAAAATGAAATAAAAAACAAGACCCAGATACCCGCACTTAATTTAATTTAATGAAATAAGGCGAAATAGACATGTTAAAAATATAAAGTATTTAATTTTGAATGGATGGAAGCCAATGATAATGTAAACGAAAATTTATGATTACTTGTCATTAGGATCAACATTGATAAGCGATTTTATTTGAACTTGACAAGATTTAGCTTTCAAAGGGCTGAATTCTTCAAGTTTTTCCACAAAAAGCAGCTCATAATGATCGTTCTTCACAGATCCCCCAGGCTGCATAAATGGGATAGATGGAGATAATAAAACTGTCTCAGCTGAACAAGGAAGCGTATAAAGAACGTGACCACTGCGATTCCATTAAGAATGTTATTATCTTACCTAGGAAATGACACGAGCTCTAGGATATTAGGTTTGGAAGGATCAAAATTTTTATCATTTTCGTCCTCAGAGCGAATAATCGCAAAATAAATTATTGGAAAACATTGCTCTAGATCAAATTCACAAAAGGAAGAATCAAGAGCGAAGTCTAAAACTCCTGAAAAGAACGAAACTTGGCCAAGTTTTATGCCGATTCGAAGGTCACAAACGTGAATTTGCCCCTAAAAATATCGCTAACTAAAATAGTGATTACATTATCTGTTAACGAAAAAATATAGGCTCCATCAGGCGTTGCCAACGTTTTGATATAGATAACTTTATCGTTATCAGTAGGATGAATGATACTCATATGGTGAAGTATATCATAATTAGTCAGTGCAAGTAGCACATTCGAAATATCCTTTAAAAGTAAAATCGAAAAAGTAAATTACCGGAGTGAAAGAAATGCAGACC